CTCGTCGTCGTCGTCGTCGTCGTCGTCGTCGTCGTCGTAGTCACCGCCGTCGTCGTCGTCGTCGTCGTCGTCGTCGTCGTCGTCGTCGTCGTCGTCGTCGTCGTCGTCGTCGTCGTCCCCCTCCAGGATCGGTGGCACCGGCCGCAAGGCCTTCGCAAAAGAGAGCAGAGAAACCACCCTCACAATAAGCACCCCGACAAGCAGAGCCGTGGAGTAAACGCACCCAAGGAAGGAATCGAAACGGGGCAGGGCAGTCTTGTGAGCGCCCAGGGCCGTTCTTTAGTACACGCCAAGGTTCGGGTCGAGGTGGTTCTGCCGCCTTTGACTGAAGGGACCGCGGAGGGGGACCTCCAAGAATCTGACATCGGACGTCGGACCTGCAGCGGTCGACTGCTGGGGCGTCGCGAAGGTGGGCGCCGTAGCGCCAGGCGTTCGAAACGTGTGAGATGCTGGAGAAGAAAATCCACAGAGACATGCCACGGCACATACACAACGCGGTATGAATCAACAAAGGCGCACTCGGGCCAATGGTTCGCAGGGGGGGAACGTGGGCCCGCGCAAAGGGTCACTCCGGCGAGGGGCCCTTCTCACATGCTGCCGAGGACTGGCCGCGAGGCGCGTCCACAGGTCGGGGGTCCGCGGGGAAGCAGAGTTTGCTTGTAAACCTGCTGAGCCTATCGAGCGCGAAGGGGAAGGGGCGCTCCCAGGCGGTGTGGCGAGCACGCGTGGGTCACAGACATGGGGGAAGGAGGAGGAGGGCGAGGAGGGAGAAGAGGAGGAAGAGGAGGAAGAGGAGGAGGAGCAACGATACTAACCTGAGGCGACTCGGTCAATTGCGTGCTGTAAGTTCGTAGCCGTTTTCGGCTTTCTGGGCAGTCTGAGCTCCGAGTTGGGTTGTCACTTCGTCTTTTCAGACAGAGCCTTCCCGTGGGGAGTACCTCCTCGGTGAATTTCCTCCTCCTCCTCCTCCTTTGAAACCTTCAGGCTCGTAGAGATCCAGGAGCACCGGATCAGGCGCCTGCGCAGGCCCAGCCTCTAGTCCCGGGCCCCCCGTGTTCGAAACCTCTACCCAAATCGGTCCTTGCTGTCACCTCGGAAGGCCCCCCTGGGAAGACGAGAGCCTCATATGCATGCTGTTCAAAAACATCTATATGTAGAGCTATATAAAGCACCATCCATCCGTCCATCCGCGCGACTGGTCCGCATGATAGAACGCAGATATCAAACGGCAGCCCCGTCTTGAAACGGAGCCGTCCCCCGTCCGAGCAAGCGCTGCCCAACGTTACGTGTTTGGTGCCACATGTTGAAGAAGTCCCATGCCACATGCCCATGTGGAAAAGGAGCCGCCATCAATCCTTGTAAACATTGAAGTGCTTACGGCGAACGTGCGTCGCTGCTATGGCGAGGGCTGCATTTTGAAAACGGACCGCATGGCAGCTTTAACATATTTGCGCGGCGTTGAGGTGAAGGATACACACCGAAACCCATCCATCCGTGTACGTTCTGTAGATGGGAAACTTCAACGCACAACTGGCAAGAGCTTTTCGGGCGAAACGCCTCGCTGGCCCTACAGTCGCGTCTCGCGGTGCGACGAGGAATCCCACCATCCCTCTGGGCGCAGGTGGTCTAGGGCGTTTCCCTTTCCAACCTCCTTCTTTTCCCTGCTCGGGAGGTTTACCTCCCCCCCCTCCCTGGGTCTGGACGGCGGGAGGCTCGATGTGTCAGAGCGTTTTTTTCCCAAGATGGCTCCAAGAGGGCCCCAGATACCCCAAGATGGTCTCCAAGATGGCTCAAGATAGCCCAGGATGGCTCATGATACTTCCGACACGAATCCAAAAGGCCTCATGACGGCTCCAAGATGGTTTCAAGTGCCGTCCGAGCTCTCCGAGGACCCCCCAAGAAGCCCAAATCCTTCAAACATTTAAGGACAATCAATGTTTTTGCCTTCTCGCTTTGTCGCCTCCGATGGGTTCTTGGGGCTTCAATCTGACCCCAAGACGGTCCAAGAGAGCCCCAAGAGGGCCCCCAAACGGCCTCCAAAGCGCCCAGGAGCGCTCCAAGAGCGGCCCGGGAGGGCCACAAGATGACATGTTTGAGCCTCCGAGGGGGCGATCCGAATTAAAACGCCCCCTCTTTCTGAACAGCGGGGGCCAAGACGGCCCCAAGAGGCCTCCCAGACCCCCCCAAAGAGCCCCAAGAGGGCCCCAAAGACCCTGCAATGACCCTTCAAAGACCCAGCAATGACCCTGCAAACACCCTGCAATATCCAACCTCCTTCCTCCCCTGCTTGGGAGGTTGACCTCCGCCCTCCCTGGGCGTGACTCATAGCAACGTCCAAGATGGTACAAGACGGTTCCAACAGGGCCCTAGAAAACCCAAAGATGGCCTCCTGCGTTGTTTATGTTGTTACTCCTCCTCTTCCTCCTGCTCCTCCTGCTCCTCCTGCTTCTCCTCCTCCTCCTCCTCCTCCTCCTCCTCCTCCTCTCGGCCTCCTCCTCCTCATCATCATCCTCCTCCTCCTCACCTTCTCCTCCTCCTCCTCCTCCTCTTCCTCCTCCTTTTCCTCCTCCTCCTCCTCCTTTCTCCTCCTCCTCTTCCTCCTCCTCCTCCTTTTCCTCCTCCTCTTTCTCCTCTTTCTCCTCTTTCTCCTCTCTCCTCCTCCTCCTCCTCCTCCTCCTCCTCCTCCTCCTCCTCCTCCTCCTCCTCCTCCTCCTCCTCCTCTTTCTCCTCCTACCCCCAAGATGGTCCCAGCACCAGCACCACCACCAGCAGGAGCACCACAAACACCAGCACCAGTACCATCAACAGCAGCAGCATCAGCAGCAGTACCAGCAGCAGCACCAGCACCTGAGCAATTTCAAAACGCACGCGAGTTTCAGACACAAGTCAGTGCAAGGGAGAAGATCAAGGATGCCCGTCGATATGCAACTCTGATCTGCGCAACAGTGGCGTCGGATCGTAGATATAGCAGCCTGCGCAAGATACGCTTACCACAAGGAACACACATGGCGCATCTTGCACATATACCTGTCTTAAGCTTCACTGCGCAGAGTTATTGGTGGTCCTTGTTTTCTGACCCAAGGTACTGCCCACCCAGTTCCGACGCCTCCGAAACGGTTGCGCGACCGCGTGTTTCCAGGCGCCCTTGATTAACCGACTCGCCTGGTAATCTTTTTTAGATGGCCTGGCGGGGATGCGCGAAACGTCAAGAATTACGGTGGATACGGATGGGGGAATAAAAGGAAACATACAAACCATATCCTCGAAGAGAAGGAGGCCAGAGGAGGAAGCAGGATGAGCAACGGGAGGAAGAGTGGGAGGAGGAGGAGGGGGGAAAAGGATAATACACCCCGTGTAAACTCAAGGCGCATAAACGATGTTGCAGTAAACCTCGCTACAACTTGCCTCCTCATACAAACATCATGTTCCTGTATGTTCCTGCTGGAATTGCACGATTGGAAGACATCCGTCGGATAACCCTCAATCGTGCCAAAACACCATTCTTGGAACTTCAGCGCCACGAGTCAACGCGACTGCTGCGTCCTGATAATTTTAAACCGTGCCAGACCACACTTCTTTAGGATTCACCGCCACCACAAGTTTCAGCTGCGCTGGCAGCCTCCCGCGCCCGAAGGTACCCGCACCCTCTTGACAAGGGGTGCGGCACCTCCCGCGCCGCCCAGCCTGGCGGCGCCAATATGAACCGACGCGCGGGGCGCCGTGGATGCAAGCACCCCCAGGAGCGGCGGGGCGAAAGCGCGCGCGCCGTCCGCGACGGCAGGACGCAAGCGCAACCGCCGACGCCTGCAGGATGCAAGCGCCAACGCCTGCAACCCGCACGACCCCGAAGCGCGCCGCGATCCGGCCCGATGGGATCCCCGCGACGCGCCAGCACGCAACGCGCACGGCGATGCAGGCAAAAGAGCAAGCAACGAAAACACACGCGCCGCGTGCCCACGCCCCGCGCGCGCGAGACCTTCTCGCGGGGCCGCGCACAACGAAACGCATGCCGCCACCCCGTGCGCGCGCGGGCTCTTCTGGCGAGGCCGCGCGCGGCGATGGACATGCCGTTGCGCCCTCTTCGCGCGCGCAAGCCCTTCGCGTGGAGCCGCGCGCCGCGAGGCGCAGGAAAGCGGGCGGCGGCCCGTGCGCACAGCTCGCCCGCCTGCGCGCGGGCCAGGCGCGGGCGCGCAATTTGTGCCCGCGCACAACGCAGCTCACGTGCGCGCGGGCTTGCGATGACGTTGCGCGCCCAAGAACTAACATGACCGCTGTGTCCTGACAACCCTACACCGCGCAAAAACACCACTCCTGGGACTCCAACCGGATGACTCCTTGGAGCTCTTGCTCAATTCCAAAACAACTGCGCGGCGCTTGAGCTAGAGCCACAACATGAAAAAGGAACCCTACTCCATCCTTCCTTGAAGCTGCAATAAACTTGAAATACGCATGGGCGCAGCGCTAAGGCGAGAACCACATGTTGAAAACAACCCGCTCTCCATTCATGAAGCTGCGGCACGCGCTTAAAACGAATGTGCGCGGCGCTACAGCGAGAAAAGCACTTTCAAAACGGCCCGTCCTGTATCCGCGAAAATGATGCAGGCTTTTGAAACGAATGCGCGTGGCGCTAAAACGAGAACAACACTTTGAAAACGGACCGCTCCACGTCCGTGAGACGGCTGCAAATTCGAAGCATCAGGGCCATGAAAGGTGGGGAAGTCTGAGGCGACACGCCTGGCCCGCCCTACCGATACGTCTGGGGGTGCGACAGGGAGGAGTTATTCATAGTAAGGAAACAGCGATGGAGGAGGAGGAGCAGGGGAAGGGGAAGAAGAAGAAGGAACAGGAGGACGAGGAGGATGAGACGGAGGAGGAGGAGGAGGAGGAGGAGGAGGAGGAGGAGGAGGAGGAGGAGGAGGAGGAGGAGGAGAGAGGAGGGAGTAGAAGAGAGGACGAGGAGAAGGAGAGGAGAAAGAGTGGAGGAGAGAAGAGGAAGAGAGGGAGGAGGAGGAGAAAAGGAGGAGGAAATGGAGGAGGAGGAGGAGGAGGAGAGACGAACGAGAGGAACCCATCGCCCGCCGCCCCAGTATCACATCACGACGCAGGCCCTCGTCTGCACGACGCCCCTGGGCACGGGGCCGTCCAGGTCGAGGGCCTCGGCTGGGCGGCGCGGGGCGCAAGCGAGCTCGCAGGAGTGGGTGGAAGACGAAAAGTAAGAGAAGGAGGAGGAGGAGGAGGAGGAGGAGGAGGAGGAGGAAAGGAGGAGGAGATGAGGACGAGGAGGGAGGAGGAGGGAGGAGGACGAGGAGGACGAGGAGGGGAGGGGGAGGGAGGAGGAGGAGAGGAGGAGGAGGAGGACGAGAAGGACAGGATGATGAGACAGAGGACGAGGAGGAGGAAGAGTGGGGGGAGGAGGAGGAGGAGGGAGGGAGGAGGAGGAGGAGGGAGGAGGAGGAGGAGAGAGTAGGAGGAGGAGGAGGGGAGAGGATAGAAGAGAAGAGAAGAGAAGAGAAGGGCTGCACTCAGCCCCAAGCTACTTTCAACAGCCACTCGCAAGCAGACGGCACGGATGAGGGAGAGGATGGCAGGAAGAAGGGAAGAGGCAGGAGGTAGGAGGGGGATGCGGAACACCAGGGGGATGTAGGCATGAGGAGACGGGAGCTGGGAGGATGGGGAAAACGGCGGCCGAGGGACGAGGGAAGGAAAGAGGAGCAGTTCACCGAGGCACACAGCTGCCAGAAGCGAGAATCTCCCCTCTCCCCCGCCGTTTCGCCCTACCTCGGCCAACATCTGGCCCAAACCGGAGCAGCACCCACTCAAACTCTGCCCCGACCTACTCCACCCGCCCTGCCCCGACCAAAGCCGCCCTTTCTCGGGAGCCCTCCCTGAGCCCATCCTGGCAGTTCGGCTCCAGCCGCGCCCAGCCGTGGCCGCAGGAGGCCCAAAGAAGGGCCCACGGAGGGCAGAGACTCGTGTGCGCCGAGGAGGGCCAGTGACGAGATGGCCCGAGGCGTGTGCGCACATGAGGGGGGGGCCATGTGACGGATTAAAAGAAGAAGAAGAAAACATAAGAAGAATAATAATAAGAATAATAATAATAATAATAAAAATAATAAAAATAATAAGAATAAGAAGAAAGAAAAATAATAAGAATAAGAAGAATAATAAGAAGAATAAGAAGAAGAAGAGGAATACTAACAAGTATATGACTAATACTCATATTAATACATTGAATAATAATCAGAGTGAGGGGGCCGAACGGTCATTCACTGTCCCGGGGTGCGTGGCTGAAGTGAAATTCTGCGGTGCGGATTCTCGTTGTTGTTGTTTGTTGTTGTTGTTTGTTGTTGTTTGTTGTCGTCGTCCCACCCGCAACCCGCCCCGCGACCCACCCGCGACCCACCCCGCGACCCACCCCGCGACCCACCCGCGACCCACCCGCGACCCACCCGCGACCCACCCCGCGACCCACCCGCGACCCACCCCGCGACCCACCTCGCGACCCACCCCGCGACCCACCCCGCGACCCGCCCGCGGCCCACCCCGCGACCCACCCGCGACCCACCCGCGACCCACCCGCGACCCACCCGCGACCCACCCGCGACCTACCCCGCGACCCACCCGCGACCCACCACCCAAACCACGTTCAAGGTACAAACCACCATTTTCGGCGCCTGCGGCGGGTTTTTTTTGCATTCCTTCCAGGTTGAGAGCCCGCGACCCACCCCGTGACCAACTCGCGACCAACCCGCGACCAAAACCACGTTCAGGGTACAAACTACATTTTTCGGCGCCTGCGGCGGGCATCTTTTGCATTCGTTTCAGGTGGAGAGCCCGCGGCCCACCCGCGACCACGTTCAGGGTACAAACCACATTTTTCGGCGCCTGCGGCGGGCATCTTTTGCATTCGTTCCCGGTGGAGAACCCGCGGCACACCCGCGACCCAAACCACGTTCAGTGTACAAACGAATTTGTTGGGCGCCTGCGGCGGGCTGCTTTAGCATTCCAGGTGGAGGTGGAGAGCCCGCGACCCACCCGCGACCTAAACCACGTTCACTGAACAAACCAATGCCGCACAAGCGCGGCGGCGGATTTTTGCATGCTGCCTGAGCCCGCAAGGACCTCTTCAAGCCCCGCGCATCCACACCAGCCCGTCCAGCAACTCTGCCCTGGCGAGTTGCAATAATCAAAGAAGGCGGTGATCATAAAGTGGAAAAAAAGGATTGCGTTGCAGTTATCTTGGGAAAGGAGGGGGAGGCAGGAGGAGTAAACAGGGGACGAGGAGAACGCGGAAGAAGAGAGGATGTAAGGATACTGTGGAGAAAGAAAAGGAGGAGGAGCAGGAGGACGAGGAGGGGGAGGAGGAGGACGAGGAGGGGGAGGGTGATGATGATGATGATGGACGACAATGGAAGGACGATGATGGAGGCCGATGAAGGGGGAGGACGACAATGGGAGGACGATGATGAAAGGACGAGGGGGGGAGAGGGAGGACGAGGAAGAAGAGGAGGAGGACGACGAGGTGGAGGAGGAGGATGACGATGACGATGAGGACGAGGACGAGGAAGAGGAGGAGGAGGAGGAGGAGGAGGACAGCGCCATCGACAGGGAAGGTGGGGGCCACGAGGTCCGCCGGCTCGACGACGCCCGCGTCGCCCGCGCCCGCCCCCTCACTCTTATCCGCAATTGCGGGGTGCTACGTAACAATAACAACAATACTACTACTACTACTACTACTACTACTACTAATAATAATACTAATGATAATACATAAATAAATCAATAAATAATTAAATGAATGAATGAATGAATAAATACATAAATAATAACAATAAAATCAATAGTAATACTAATAACACTACGGATCATATTAATAATACTAGTGCTAATAATGCTGATAACGGTCACGATACGAAGCATGCGAAGACTACTAACAATAATAATGATAATAATAAGAAAAAGATGAAGAAGGAAAATAAGAATAAGAAGGGGCCATGGCATATTGGATATGTAATGGTATCCCCTCTACAACCCTCGTCCAAACTGACCTCAAAAGCGTGTTGCGCAACTGACTTGTACATGTGATGTTCTGGGTTATGGTTGACATTGCGTGCGACATACTTCTTGGCGCCCACTCTCTAATGCTGGCCATCGTAGAGCTTGCGAGTCGAGCCATCCCAGACCGCATTCTGGCCCGCTTCGACATTGAAGGAGGTGACATTGACGGGCGAAAGGGAGCGACACTTAAAGGGCGCGTCAACAACTCTTGAGGTTCATTATGTTGAGGGTTGCAGTCCTCAGCAACCTCTTGGACGCGCCTGGGAGACGCCAAGATCCCCGAATCAACGTTAAGAAACGTGCGCCCTCTGGCGATGCGCCGCCACCGAAACCCGTACGGCCGCCAAGACACATGGGCGAAGATGATGATGATGATGATGATGATGATGATGATGATGATGGTGATACTGATCATCATCGCTGATGATGGTGATGATGATGATGGTGATGATGACGATTCCGATGATGATGATGATGATGATGATGATGATTATGATGATGATGATGCTGGTGCTGATAATGATGATAATAATGATGATGATTTTGGTGGTGGTGATCGTGGTTGTGATGGTGGTGATGCTGATGCTGATGTTATTGCTGAAGCTGCTGATGCTTCTAATGATGATGGTGGTGATGCTTCTAATGATGATGGTGATGAATGTGATTATGATGCTGATGATGATGGTGATGCCGATGACGATGCTGAGGATGGTAGTGATGATGGTGATGATTATTATGGTGATAATATGATGGTGGTGATGATGGTGATGGTGATGTTGGTCCTGATGATGCTGCTGATGATGATGCTGATGATGGTGATGGTGGTGGTGATGATGGTGATGGTGATGTTGGTTCTGATGCTGCTGCTGCTGCTGCTGATGATGATGATGATGATGTTGGTGTTGATGATCATGATGATGACGACGATGGTGATGACAGAGACCCGGCTGACCGCAGGAACACAAGAACACAGGGGGCGACACTGCGCCTCGCCGTTCACGGCGCAGATTACCACCGTGCCCCTCTTGAAGGGCGAGGGGGCCAGCGGCACCAGCCTGGCAAGGAAGAAGCGCCGATGCTCCAAGGAGGCAAAGCCGCAAGGGCCACTCGTCGTCGTCGTCGTCGTCGTCGTCGTCGCTGTCGTCGTCCACTCTTCATTCTTCTCCTCCTCCTCCTCCTCATTCTCCTCCTCCTCCTCCCTCATCTCTCCCCTCTTTTCCGTCTCCTGTTTCTCCTCCTCCTCATCCTCATCCTCCTCTTCTCCCTACTCGTCCTTCTCCTTCCCTCCCCCTCCTCCTCTTGCTCCTCCTCCTCCCCCTCCTCCCCCCCTCCTCCTGCTCCTCCTCCTGCTCCTCCTCCTGCTCCTCCTCCTGCTCCTCCTCCTGCTCCTCCTCCTCCCCCCTTCCTCCTCCTCCTCCTCCTCTCCTCCTCCTCCTCCTGTTCCTCCTCCTGTTCCTCCTCATCATCATCTCATCTCTCCTCTCTCTTCTTCTCCTACTCTTCCTTGTCCTCGTCCTCGTCCTCATCCTCGTCCGCCTCCTCCTCCTCCTCCTCCGCCTCCTCCTCCTCTCTCCTCATCTTCCTCCTCTCTCCTACTCTTCTTCCTCCCCCTCAACAGAAGTTGCTCCCGTCGACTGCAGATCGATGAGGCCCTATGCACTCGAACCAATGGCGACGAACCCGCATCGGGTGATCGAGCCGTGCGAAGCCCTGCGCACCATCCCCCCTCCTCCCTCCCTCCCTCCCTCCAAGGTGTTGTAAGGTCAAGGGGCCTTGGGTGTGCGCTCCCAGGGAGCGCGGGCCCCCCCATCCGACGATCGCACCCATCGAGCCGCGCGGCCGCCACAGTTCGGGGATGGACAGACCCCCTTTAGTGAAACGTGGTTTCGTGGAAACGACCTCGGGCCCAAACCTGGCGGGCGCAAGCCTGGAAAACAACGGCCTCGGCGCCCTCTCGAAAACCGAAAACGGACAATTCACTGCTCGACGTGTCAGGGCGGGGGTTTTCTGTCCGCCCCCCGAGCAGCCGCGCCCGCGCGACCGAGTCAAAGACGTCTCGCACGCGGAGGCTCAGAGATCGCTCGCCCGCGCGGCACAGACGCCTATAGAGATCACGGCGCGCCCAGGCCGGAGAGCTCTGGTCCGGGTGGCCTCGGCCCGTCGGCTGCCCCTCGCTCACCACGGCTCCTTCTCTCAGCACGGGGAGGCCACTGTGGGCATCAGGAGGCAGCTCCGGGGGTGGCTCTCCCACGTCGCCGCAATCTCAATGGCCGTGTACTTCGTGCGGTACCCGCAGCCGGGCCTCTGTGGAGATGCGCGCCTGGTGCTTTCCCCCCTCAGGGGAATGCGAGTCGTCGTGTCCGAGATCGTTCGCAGCAGCCAGACGGTCGACGTCGACGCAGCAGGTCATATTCTCGTGTGAATCGGTCCGCGCAGCAGTCTCAGCAGCAGGCAGTCTCAGAAGCAGCAGCCCAACCCTGTCCATGGTCAGCCAGGTTCCACGCTCGGCATCCCGCCTGCTTCGCAAGAAGTTGCCAGAACCCAAGATATACGGATTGACCCACTCAGAGCCCACAAGGACCTGCCCGCCTTCCGTTCCCAGCTACATACGAATTTGGTGGCTCTGGAGACACAGATCAAGAGCACCAAAGTTATGGCTGCGGACGCAGGAAAGATTGCCGAATTAGGAAACGAATACGCTGTATTTCTTCTCATGTTCATAAATGCATATAGTGAGAAAGACTGGGGGCTGCCCAGCCACTGTAAAGAAAAAGAGGTTGGCTAAGCCTGCCTCAGTGCTACATTGGGCGCAGAAGGGGTAGCGCCTGATCGGGCCAGGGACGCTGTCCAAGCTAGCGGGAGTCCAAGGAGAACTTGAACACAAAGTCGAAGGTGCGTGTGAATATGAAGCCCGAGCCCATCTTGCAGTCGACGAGGCACGAGCCCATTGGATTGCGTTGACACCAGAGAGAAGGATGACCTTGGCAACATAAATGCCGACAGCAAAACTGATATGGAATTGCACATCAACTGCAGCCCGCCCAAGCTGCATTCGCGTGCACAGAAAGCCTTAGCGTAAGCGAGCAGGCACCCAACTTCAACGCTCAGGTGGTTTGCCGCCCTTCGTCCCACCGCGGCCAGCCCTGTAAGGTGTAGCCCTGGGATCGGCAGCAAACTGGCTCCGGTACATCCCTGCCGACGTCACAGAAGCCAAGTCTCCGGGGCGCAAGGTGTGGGATGAAGAAGCCCGCAAGGTGTGGCAACTGCCATCGTCATCGCGCACACCGACAGCTCCGCCACGGGCGGGGAGCTCAGTTAGAGGCAGTCCTGCTGGCTGCGCAGGCGGATCAGCGCCGGCTGCAGGACCTGGCGACGCCAGAGCGGGCGCTGCGGCAAGATCTCCCCAAAGACCCGCGCTTCGGCCAGCTGCGACACCGTCAGGAGAAACATCTTCAGGAGGCAAATCATGGGGAGCCCGCGCGGCATCAGCCTTAGCCTGCTTGGCTGCCTTGCGGCGCTCCCTCTTCCTCGAACGTTGAGCGCGACGCGCAGCGCGGAGCGCGTCCAACAACTGTGCAGGGTCGTCGGGCGCCGTGCCGGCGCTCTGCGCACCAGCGGCAGCCCGCTCAGGACGTGTGCGAGGCACGGCGTCAGCAGCCGGGCGCACCAAGACGCCCGCGACTGCCGCCGCGACCGCCTGCACTGTCCTTCGAGGGGCGCCCGCTTGGCAAGCGGCGCGAACAGCTGCCGCCAGGAGGGCGGCGCCATCAGCGGACATGGCTCCTATGTGCTGCCTGGGGGGGGGGGGCAAGGCAACTACAGCAATCGCTCGAGCCAAAGCTTCGTTCATAAATGCAAACCCTCCCAAAGACAGAACATTGAATCAGCAGCGATGCGTCGAGCGTGCCAGGAAGCGCTTCAACGTTGATCAACGACGCCGAGGCCGCAGAGACTCAAGCCCGTGCTGCACGTGCTGCAGCGACCCAGGCGAAGCACGAGCTGCCTCACGACATGGATGTAGCCGTGGAGCTCCTGGACTTTTTCAAGGCAGCGCAGCAGCAGGAGGAGGAGGACACGATCGCCTCCCAAGCTGCCCAAGCAGCAGCAGAGGCAGAGGCGGCCTCCAGCAGCAAGTCTCAGCAGCACCGCAGAGCGAGCCCTTTCATGGAGATCGACCAGATCTCCCGCCCGCATGTCCTCAGACGGGGGTCAAGGTGCAGTCTCCTTTCTCGCCGCCTCCGCCCTCAGCCAGTCACAGCGAGCAGGCCCCATCATCACTGCCACAAGTCATCGCAGATTTGCAGAATGGGCTGGCGGCCTTGACCTCTCATCTCGCAATGCTCACGGCGCAACTTGGTCAGCTACCAGTTGTTCTTACGAGTTCGGCTCCAGCAGCAGTAGCAGCAGCAGTGCACACAAGGGCTCCACACCCTGCGGCCCCGTCGCAATCAGCCATTCAAGCAGCTTCCGCGCCATCTATAGCAGCCATGGTACCAGTCGGGACGGACGACGATGGCCTACCTCACCTCGGGGACAGCGACAGAGCAGCCATGGCGGCGCTGAGCTCAGCCCATGCTCCCCAACAGCCGCAGCAGCATGTGTCGCAGCAGCAGCAGATGCAGCAGACGCAGCAGCAATTACAATCCCGCCGGTACCAGGACAACGACCGCGTCCTTGGCCGATATCAAGGGGTGCTACTACGTCGCCTACGGCAACTGCAAAGGAGGTCAGATCGTCTCGTCGGGCTGCGGTCTTCGACATCTCACAGGAGGAGCCTGCTCACAAGAGCCAGACTCTGCCCCACGAGCCTGCCTCTTTTCCGATTCAGTCGCAGCAGCCTTTGACCGACCCGAGTGGCGCAGCGGTGAGTTCATGAACCAGGACTCTTCGGGTAGCCAACAATTGCCCCACTCGTGACCCATACAAAGCACCCCTCTGGGAACCTGCCCTACCAGAGGATGCCATCGCAGCCACCTCCCGGATACCACTGAGGCCCTGGAGACCCTTACTCAGGCTTGGGGCACCGACAGGAATACCAACCTATTTGAGATAGGTCATTTCCTACACTCATCTACTGTTCAGGCTCTGCCAGGACTCCGACCCCTCACCGACATCGGCGATTGGTCTCGTGTGCATATTTTCGTGGATGGATCTGGCGGGGTATCATCGAACCCACCGTGTCCTGAATTCCGCCCTGGCAAGGCCTTGCATGCTCCTAAAGGACCCCCTAGTTGGGCCTACGCGGTTATCGCGGAGGCTGCCGACTCGAGTTTCGCTTTGATTGGTTTCAATGCGCATACCTTCGATCCGATCGACGCCACCCCCGAGCTTTACTCGTTCATGTCCGAGTTGCTTGCGGCCCAGTGGGCCCTCGCCTGGCTCCTACAGCACGGTATCCTGGACTCATGCGAGGTTTGCTTCTGCGGGGACAACGTGGAGGTTCTTTCAGTGCTCGAAGGGGGCGCTGTCCGTGGATCTCTTATTTCTCAGCGGAAGCTCATATACGATATATGCCGTATCGTACGTGCCCGCGCGAGGACGTGTCATGGCTCCCACGCTGGCGGCCATCAGGCAAATCCATGGAATGAGTTGGCCGACGCACGTTGCACGCTTGCATCAGCTGGGCTGCATCACTTTGGACAGCTTTCGAACGCCCTGGAGGGCGGTGGAAGCTCAGCTTGACCAGATCAACTGGGCCTGGCTAGACAGCATGCCTATCGAGTATCGCGCGCAGTGCCCACCCAGCCATGGTCATACGCTGCCAGAGTCTCTTCCATCACGCTATCGGCTTGCCCAACTGCGTCTCCAGGTGCCTCGAGCAGCAGTGCCTCCAGAAGGGTGCCACCATCAGGGGGCAACCCAGGAGCCTCCAGAACCCTCAATGTTGTTGCTGCCAACGTTCTCACCCTCGACCCGCGGGCATAAAAATCCAAACGTACCTCTGGCTTATTCATGCCGGGTCGCATGGCCTATCGTGGCCACCAGTTCGCCAACGCACAAGATTTTCTTGGCGGGCAAAGTGGAAACCAGATATCCTCGCAACGGTGTGTCTCGG